AATTTTTTCCTTCAAATTCAATTTCAATTATAAATCCATTCATTCAAGTTCCAAATGTACGTATATTTAGCAGCTAGCAGCTTTAATTGTTTATTAATTCTAATCTCTAATGTATAAAAAACTTTATACCCCGAACCCATTGACAATGGGAAATCAGGTTATAATTATTTATATTATTTTGTGAAAATAAATGGAGCAAACAGAATGAGGCGTTACAGACTCCATAAAGTACATATATTCTTAATGAGAGCGCCGATCCAAGTCTCGTCCGTCTCTGCATACCAAATTATAACTGTGTCTGTATTGATCGCAGCCAGTCAACATTTCCAATTCCAATTATCGGCGTAGATTAAACTTAATTCACGCTAATTTAAATTGCAAATAATACTCAGATGCCTAGAGCCAAAAAAAATTTTATAAATGCAAATTTAATTATAAATTCGTTTAAACTAGTTTCTGGACGGAAAAGGGAACCAATAGAAGAAAAGAGCAGAAGAGCAGCCTCAAATGATCGCAATTAATAGTTGACTTCGCAAACTCTCAACGTTCCCAATTTGTTATATGCGCAGATTAAACTTAAATCGCGCTAATTTATATTTTAAATAATCCCCAGCTGCCTCTGCCCCCCTTCGTCACCCACGCCATTTGCCGCATGGCATCTGACCTTTTGCTTGTGCTAACATCGCAGACATGCTATCGTCGTGTCACGCACACAGCAACAGCTTCTCCGTCTCGTGCGTCGACGTCGACTGCTCTCGCGTGCGGCGACCAGGCGACTGAGCCAAGGGGCTTCTGCTCTGCTGGAACGTGAAACACTTGGTTGTTCCATTTGCCAAACTGTTCCGCTGCAACGTGCGCAACGTTGCTTCGCCGAGCTTCAGTGGAAAGCTTACGCTGTCGTCGTCGTAGCTTTGGCCAGCATTTTTTATTTGGCGCCAAAACTCTTGCGCTGCCAACTTAATTTCGTGGTTGGGGCAAAAGCTCAGGGTTAACTTTGCAGGGTACATTAGCTATGTGAAAAGGTTGAATGCATAGCATATATATATATATGTAAATAAATGGAATTAATATGTGAGCCATACAAATACTGTGATCGAATTGCTTAGTGCAATTATATTTGTATCTAAATCAGCTTAATATATAATTCCATTGTTGTATCATTAAAATTGTATACTTTAATTAGTTAATAATTATCAGATATAAATATTTTAATATTTTTGTTATATTTCTGCATATTTAATATACATTGATTTTGAATATTATTTATTCTGTATATTACA